TCAGTGGTTCAACAGTAACGTTATGAAGCGACGAGAATACTTTTTCTGAGCAAAAACAAAAACAACGACTTTATTCAACAATTCGTCTTTTCTACGTCAGCGTAGCGCCATTTTGGAGAATATCCGCTGGACGCAAATAGTGTACGTTGTGACACACTGCATGAAAGGTAATATTCGAAAAGGCATATAAGGGGCACTTTAAATAAACAGAAATAGCCAAACTTTCATTTATATAAATGTATACAATGCATCCATTTCTACGTTTATTTACGCTTTGATTTGAACAAAAACAGTGTATCCGTGTGATGCGGCTGACACAGAACAGCATACGCTATTTGCGTCCAGCGGATATTCTCCAAAATGGCGCTACGCTGACGTAGAGGAGACGAATTGTTGAATAAAGTCGTTGTTTTTGTTTTTGTTCAGAAAAAGTATTCTCGTCGCTTAATTAAATTCAGATTGAACCATTGATGGCAGATGGACTATTCTGACGATGTCTTTCATACTTTTCTGGGCCTTGACAGAGTAATTTACTTGGCAGTCAATCGGACAGTCACAAGCCTCCCGGTTTTCATCCAAAATATCTTAAATTGTGTTCCGAAGACGAACGAAGCTTTTACGAGTTTGGAACGACAAAGGGGTAAATGATTAATGACAAAATTTTCATTTTGGGGTGGAGTATCCCTTTAAATAATATTAAAACAACACTGACCGTGACAAAATACAGCTTTTATTATACTATTTTGTGCTTTGTATATCGTTAGAATTGTTTCATAATTTCTGGAGGATTTAAACTGTGGCAAGAAAAAATTGTTTGATTTCTGTAAGTAATTGAAATTGTTCATAATGAATCAACACTCACACATGTTCATGGATAGTGTGACCTTTTCATTTATTAAGATATTCTGGTGAACAGGATAGGTGAATATTGCTGCTTATCAATAATTATTTTTTATATTTGTGCATATGAATTCTTTATGGTGCTCATTTATTTTGCATTGGCTGCACTGTCAACATGTAGCATGCGTTGTCAAAATGTATCACACATTTTGATTAGTATGCCATACTGTAAGGGTGAGGTAATGACAGATATTTCTAGACTGCGGCTTCCCTTTCATGATTCTTTACAATGTAAAGTATAATCAAGTTGGCTGTACCAGTCATTTTAACCTAAATTAAATTAAACTGACTTAAAAAATCAAGTTGAATCTTGTAGAACTTAAAAATGAAGTTGAAATTGGTTAAATTAGTTTGATAAATTAAAATAATGGAAACACATATGTTGCCGTGATTTATTGATGGAGTTGTTTTTTTACAGTGTAGATGTTTGCATGTATTTTAGACGTCCGTGTGCATCTTTGCAGGTGTTTCGAGAGGACGGCATCATGTCCGGGTACCGTCATCCCAGGAGCTCAGCCCTGGACTGCATTCTCAGCAGTTTTCAAATGACCAACGAGACAGTCAATATCTGGACCCACTTCCTGCCGACCTGGTAAAGCGCCCAGTTAAACATGTGATTCCTTTTTAGTGCCAGAGCTAGTAGGTTGTCAGCTTTGAAGCTTTGGTCGAGCTGCTTCATTATGCAATCAGGATCGAGCTTATGGGCAGACACTTTTATGCAATATCGGATTTTACAAGCACTAAACACATTACTTGAAAAGTATATTTTTGTGTTATGTCAGTGCAGGGCAGTATGACCTAAAATCTTGTTTTGGTGTATTTCACATTATTGTTATTAACAAAAATGCTTTTTCTATTAAATAACCTTGCGGTAATAATAAGGTTCATTAAATATTTAACAAATTAATTCTACTTCATTAATTGGTAATGGTATTGCTTTGACTATTTTCTTATTTATTCATTTGTTGAATAGAAACCAGAAGATTATTATTCATAATGCATGATAAATGCGACATCAGTGCAGAAACAACATCATATGATGAAACGTTTGAGTTGAAATAAAAAAAAATAAAAAAAAACGATTAATCTTTTTATATAATATAATACAAGATAAAGATAAAGTTATATTTAAAATACATGAATATATAGAATATATTAAATAAGATTGTATAATGCACTTAAAATGCATAATAAATACATAAATAAAAACTATTCATAAGTCATTTGATCACAAATACAGTAAAAAGAGTAATACTGTGAAATCATATGATTTTAAAATAACTAATCTAACTAATAACTAATAAAATCATTTATTCATGTGATGCAAAGCTGTATTTTCAGCATCATTACTGCAGTCTTCAGTGTCACATGATCCTTCAGAAATCATTCTAATATGCTGATTTGCTGCTCAAGAAACATTATTACATTATTATTATCGATGATGTTGAAAACAGTTCAGCTGCTTTTAATATTTTTGTAGAATTTTTTTTTCAGGTTTCTATGATGACTGCATCATAGTTTAAAAGAACCGCATTTATTTGAAATATAATTTTTTTGTAACATTATAAATGCCTTTACTGACACTTTTGATCAATTTAATGCTAAATAAACCTGCTAATTTCTTTGAATGGTAGTGAACTCTGTTATTCAGAGTCGTGCACTACATGAACGTTCCTCACACAAAACATAATTTCCGCGTGTATGACCTGAGCTGTGCTGTTCTAGGTACTTCCTGTGGCGGTTCAGCGTGCTGTGCTCCTCTCTGGACTTCCTGACGGACAGCTACACCTGGCCGCTGCTCGTCTACATGCTTCTGATCTGCCTGTACCCCTTCACCTCCAGCTGCGCTCACACCTTCAGCACCATGTCGGCCGAGGCTCGTCACATCTGCTACTTCTTCGACTACGGCGCGCTCAGCCTCTACAGTCTCGGTACGTTGCGGTTCTCACGGCCGATTCTGTCCTGTTTGTTTGGAGTGACACTTCACTGTGAACTCTATTGGCCGGTAGATAAGCACATTATCATCATTACACTGACACAGTGGCCATTCTTATCAAATATTTTCTATTTAAAGGGGTCATATGATGTTGCTAAAAAGAACATTATTTTGTGTATTTGGTGTAATGAAATGTGTTTATGCGGTTTAAGGTTAAAAAAACACATTATTTTCCACATACTGTACATTTGAGCGAAAGCCCCGGCTTACCGTGAGCTGAGGCGGCGGGATCGAGAACGGCGGTCCCGGCGGATCCGACGAAGGAGCGGTGAAAACGGTGAAAGCCGATCCGGCCATCCACAGCGCGAAGTTGATTTATTTTCTCAGCGACCAGCACGGATCAGCTCCAGGTATGACGAAGCGGATATCGTCCTCTTTTGGAAGAGCAAACAAAGTAGTTTCGCTATCACAACGAATCACACAGCGTCTTCACGACATGGCGGCGGCGGCAACAATACTACAACGAGAATAAAAGTTACGCCTCCTTTTTCTTTTGCATGAACATTTGGGCGGTGTTATGCAAATCTTCCCACATCGTGACGTAGATATGTGGGGGCGTGTTAGAACGAGCCGTTTTAGGTAGGCGTGGCTGACTCTTAACTTTTATAAAGAATATCTCTTTGGATTTGAGACTTTAGTCTGTGCAACTTTACAGATCTTCTTTATGCACCAAGAGCTTGTAACACTCCAAAGAGAAAGGAAAAATTGAAATCGCATCATATGACCCCTTTAAACATCAGTGGCGTGCAGGTTTAGTCATGCATAGCTAGAGTTTTGACTAAAAACCTCACCTATGGTTCACACTGCAGCTACGTAGAAAGAGAGCAGTAGACTGTAAAGCCTCCTACCATACTTTTTGTGACATATCCTCAGCAAAAATGATAAAAGAGACCTTTTTTTAACACACAAAAAAACATTTTAATGCTGTTCTAGATGATCTTATGAAAAAGTGACCCATTTTACCTGACTTTATACTACTAAGTGCCTCAAACAAAGCTTTCGAAATATACAAAAGTCAACTACTACTTAGAATGATTTGATGCCACTAACGTGCAAAATTAGTTCTTCATCAAAAGCATGATTTTTAATCAAATGTTAGAAGAAAACCGAAACATTAAAAAGACAAATGAAAAATGATGCCTTGTCAATTGAAGCACAAAAATGATTAAAACTTAAACTAAAATAAAAAACTAAATATTTTAAAAACAAAAAGCATAAAACTTGCAAAAAGACTAAAACTTAAACTAAAATTAATATGAAAAATATAAAATAAAAGCCCATTCAAAATATTAATAAATACTGTAATAGCATATAAATAAGTCTTAAATAATTCAGCATTAATTTCCATTTTATGTATTAAGGTTTATTGTCCCTTAGAAATAAAAACAAATATTTTTATATTATATATTCTATATTATAGTATTTATTAATGCTTTGACTTGGCTTTTTTTGTTTTAATTTTAATTTTAGTTTAAGTAATTTTGCAGTGTGCTTTTGCCATTTATTTTCTCTTTTTAAAATTTTCTATTTAGCTTAATTTTTTTATTTTTTTTTTCAGTTGTAGTTTTTTTTTATTTTGGTGCTTCGACTTTCAAGTGTTTTCTTCTAATGTTCGTTTTAATGTACTTTATTTCAGTTACCAAAAATGATTTCCAATAGTTTTAGTTAACAATAACAACACTGCATTCTTGCACCTCAAATAATCCAGTATAGAGCTAGCAACACCAAGGTCATGGGTTTGATTTCCAGAGAATGCATGAACTGATAAAATGTACAGTATGTCTCGAATGCACTCTAAGTTGCTTTGGATAAAACACAAAATGCAAATGCGTGAATGTAAATGAATATGACATTGTGAGATAAATGTGCCAGAGTGGCTGCTTGTCATCCATGGTCCTTGACAGAATATAGAAACCCCTGAACTAGACGCAGTTCTGATGTAAATCATGTCGGAGAATTTCACGATGACCAGCAGCAGAAATGAATGCGCCTTAGACGGGTTGATCTGAGGTTATGGAAAGCATGAGCTTCGGAGGAAATGAGCCGTCTAACACACTGCTGGCATTTTATTGTATGACTTCAAAGGAAAGAAAGCAAACGCTCTGGCTCCAGAGAAAACCTTTAAAGTCTGCATTGATAAAAAGTGAAGGCTGAAGAATTGCACGTATTGTTCGAGCCACTTATGAAGAGCTAGTGCGAAATATAAGCACAATTTAAATATGAACGGGACACTTTACCTTACATTGAGTGCGTGATTTAATGCACCTTTCAAACATTAAAGACTCATTTTCTTGATAAAAGAATGATTATTCTTTCAAGTGGAAATTGATTTAAACTTATATTTGAAAAGTAATCCTATTTCTGCAGTATTTCCATTCATTTGACTTCGGTCAGTCTCTGTGCTGGATGATGGTACGGTCATCTGTTCAGTATCCTGCGTTTAGAGCAGTGAGTTTTTGTTGTAAGCTCCCGTAGTCTAATAAAAATATTATTCGTTCATATGTGGAATCCATCTCCGGTCATGTTTTCCAGTTGTGGTAAAGAAAGGCCTCTCTTGCTGCCTTTGAGAAAAGCAGAATAGCTGTATATGTCCACAGCAGTGAATGTGAGTGTGTTTGGATATGGCACAATAAAGCATTACAAAAGAAGAAATTCAATATAACATGGTATTTTATACAGTAACTCCCAAAAATGTTATTTTTGTGCTGTGTACGCCATGTACAGTACCTACTATTTTTCTTAAAACTGCATGTAAAAATGACACTGTATGCAACATTATTGCACAGTAGTTTCTTTGAAATAATGGTTCATTGAATCATTTGCATTTTGAAGTTTGTGTCAAATTTGTCTAGACAATTCATCCAGTTTGGACCTTTTTTGTGACATTCTCAATATAAATGATAAAAGAGACATAACACAGAGAGCAAAGTATAAAATGTGCGTAGACAATTTAATGCTGCTCTAGATGATTTTATGAAAACGTGGCCCATTTGATCTGATTTTATCTTATTAAGTGCCTCAAATAAGACTTTAGAATATACAAACATATATATATATATATCAAATATTTGTACTACTTATAAAGATTTGAAATTTGATATATCACTAACTTTATCAAATTGTATGTCGGTAGTGCAGAAAATGTTATACAGTATATTAGATGAAAAACCTAAACTAAAAAAAAATTATTAGAAATGTTGGCAACTAACTGAAACATGTTTAAGCTTAAGGACTAAACTGATTAAAACTAAAGCGACATAGAAATATAAAAAATGAAAATGACAAAAGCACATTTAAAATTAAAATGAAAACAAAAATACAAAAATAAAAGCTAATTCAATGTATAAATAGATACTAAAATGGTATATAAATAATGCTTAATACTGGAAACATTTTATTTATTAGGATTCATTCTCCCTTTTAAATAACATAATTTTTTATATACTATTATAGTATTTATTACTATCTTGAATTGGCTTTTATATTTTCAGTTTTCATTAAAATTTTAGTTTTACTATATCACAATGTTTTCTTGGAAATAATGGTTCATTTGCAAAAATGAAAATTCCTCCAGTTATTTCTGGGAAAAATCACATATGTACAGTATGCGTACTACATACTGCAGAAATAATTCAAGTGTTTTAGTAATAAGCCATTTCCATACATGCACTAAAATCAGTTGGTTCAATATTATTGCAAAGATTCTGAAAAATACGCAAGCATCACGCCACTTTTGTGTGATATTTTATTAAATAACACAAAAACATTTTGACACTTTCGGGGACTTTGGAATTTGGAAATTCCAAAGTATTTACAGTTTCTTTGTTTAGATCTCGATCTGTTAACAAACCTTCTTTATTTATACCAGATACATAGTTCCCTAACAAGGAATGTGCTTTATGCAGTTTCTGAAACCTAAAACTCCGAATCAAATCCAAACAAAAGCCTGCATTAATTCATGTTTTTGTTGAATGGAAATGCTCAGCAGTTTAGACATTTTTTTGTGACATTTTCAGAATAAATGAGAAAAGAGACCTGATTTAACACACAAAGAGCTGTCTGTAAAATGTGCCTATAGACATTTTAATGCTGCTCTACAAGATTTTATGAAACAATGGTTTCACCCTCAAACAGAACTCTCGGAAATCTTGCAAAGATTTGATGCCACTAAGCTGGCAAACTTCAATTCAGGAATTAGTTCTTCATCGAAAGCACTCATCATATAGCATAAAACTCAGAATCATATCCAAATGAAAGCATGCATTAATCTTCAATGCTCTGCACTGTTTCAGTGTTTTAAAAATGCCATACTCTTTTCCAGGCTGCGCCGTCACATACGGCTCTTACGCCATGCCCGACTGCTGGGTAAACAGTTGGCTTCATCAGCATTTCGTGACCATTGGCGTCGCCAACTCGCTCTTTTGTACCAGCATGTCCTGCTACTCCAGGTGAGGATTCAGAGGGTAATTAAGACTCATTTACTAAGTCTGCGATTACAGGAGCTAATGCAGATGTCATTTCAAAGCCAGACTCTGAATAATAGGGAGTTCATTATATAACTTGAGTCCTTCTCACACACAGACCTTTGTTCGTTTTGCCCTTATTCCTGGTTGCACAAAAGGTTTCAGTCATTTTAATAAATACATTATTTACAAAAGTGCTTAACTGGTTGTTGAATTCTGTGAATTGATTAGTTTTGCTTAAGCACGCAGAACTATTGCGGATGTGTATTATTAAACTTTGGCACATAACTTGTCTCGCTCTGATGCCTCAAATCATGCTGGTTGTTTAGAAGAGGTGTGCGGTTTACTTACTCTAAACAATCAGGTGTGTGTGTGGAGGGACGAAGGAATGGGCAAAACAATATCTACACAATATTTACAGACAGAATATCATGAAGACGTGAGGTTGGGGTCCTTGGACTTGGACCATTATCCAACCACCTAGCAACCATCTACAATAACCTAGCAACCACCATGGAAGATGCTCACAATACACTAACATTTATGATGGAAACTTTTGTGTGATTAACCACCACACACATTTTAAAGTAAAAATAAATAAATAAATAAAAATATTATTTAATTATTTTATATAAATACATATATAATATAATTATAATATTTATATTTATTTAAAATATTTGTTATTTTTGCATGAACAAGCAGCATTCACATTTTCTTCATAAAGTAAAAACAGTGTAAATATTGTTATTTAATATTTCTAAAAAAGCATTTAACTGTGAAACCAGATGCATTTTTCCTGATTTTTTGTAACGTTTTTTTAATGTGGTAAAATGAACATATTCATAAATCCGATTAAAACAGTTGGTTCAGTGTCATTGCAAGAAGTGTCAAGCCTCACTTGATCGCAGATGCCACTTTTGTTTGATATTTTGTTAAATATCTAAAGACAGAATATCATGGAGATGTGGAGTTGGGCTCTTTTGGCTTGCACCATTAAGTAACCACCTAGCAACCATCAACAATAACCTAGCAACCACATAAAAACAACCACCTACAATATGTTAGCATTGTGGTTGAAACTTTTCCATGACTCAGCACTGTTTACATTTTCTTCATAAAATAATAACTGTGTAAATATGATTGTTTAATGTTTCCATTGTTAATATTTATATTTATTGAATTTTTTTTAATTATAATTCAATATAATTTAAAAATAATTCACTGTTTCACATATTATATTATATTATTATATATTTTTATATATTTTTAACTAGAAACATGTGTTTTACTAGTTTGCAGTATGGTAAGATGCTATTTGAACATATCTAAAAAATATAATTTTTTTTAACATTTTATTATTAATATTATTTTATATTATTTATTTCAAAATATATTATATCTATAACAAATATATTTTAAGTGAGGGTGCACTTTTCTGTCTTTTGTAACAGGTTCGTAGAGTTGCAGTTCCCACATAAAAGTAAAATCTTGCGAACGGCCGCGTTTGTCGTCCCCTTCCTCTTTGATAGCTTCCCACTGTTCTACCGCGTAAGTACGGACACATTTCACTGCGCATGCAAATTAGCCAGTTGTGTATGCGCATTGTGTACACTGCAGATATGAATGCACTCTTCTCTTCCGCATGTGTGTCTGTAGCTGCTGTCGTGCTGTTGGGGGAGCTGTAGTCCCAGTCAAGCTCTGGCCAGCCACTCTTACCATCTGCTCTTTGCGTTCCTCACATGCTTCCTGTTTGCGTCTCACCTCCCCGAGAGACTGGCTCCTGGACGCTTCGACTACATCGGTACCTCATTTGATTGATTTTACAGTCATCTTTGTTTAGTTCTCAGTGGCTCACACCGGTGTCACGCAGTTCTTTTGACCACTTTTTCCTCTTCCAAGGTCACAGTCACCAGCTCTTCCACATATGTGCGGTGGTGGGCACACATTTCCAGATGGAGGCAGTGTTGACAGACATGGCGTCTCGCAAAGATTGGCTGACGTCGCACTCCTCTTTACCTTCGTTTCCGGCCACCTTGGGGGTTCTCGTGCTGGGCGTCCTGCTCAACCTGGGCATCATTGGCACCTTTAGCGCCGGTTTACCGCGAACACCTCGCCAAAGCACTTCGGCCCACCTTCATCAGGAGTAACGAGCTTTCTTGACCACTCCACACCTCACTGTGCACCTTTCTGGACAATTGTGCACTTATACAGTCACTTTCACTGATATATAAGCCTTGATACTTATGTACTAAGAAGCTAAACGTTTATGCTATTCGAGATCGTTTATTCTAGTTAATTTTATACTCACGGTTTATTATCCCAGCCGAAAACCCTAATGATAATCGCGACCTTTCAGGAGTTATTTGATTAGATTTTTTAGTCATCGATATGAAAGTTTGAGGGTTGAATGACACTAATATTGATTTTTACAGGTTATATTCTAACATAGCTTTGGGGTTTTTTATAAACATAATATGATGTTTGTGTTACTACATATTAATGTTGTGTAATATTAACTGGAAAATGATTACGTAGCATTAATCAGGGATTTTATATTTGCATTAATATCATCATGAGTAACATCATTAATATGATTAATCCAATTTTATGATGTGTTGCATATCAAAATATTCAAAAATTATGGTGGGTACCATATCTAAAATGACATGCAGGTGGGTGAAGCTATGCTTGTATTTGTAATGTCCCTTTTTATTATGATTTGGATTTAATGGAACACCTTTGAATAATCTCACAGGTTCAGTAACTAATCAATTAAGGGCTGTTTTTAGAAAAATATTTCCACTTTTACTTGAGCTCGTTTAAACATCATTCTCCTACTAATATGAATATGGGGCTGCACTGGAGTCCTTCACTCTGGTTTTGAGTTATGTGTCACATATCTGTGGTATTGTTTTGTTCATTGCAGGTTTATGGCGTACAATACACTCTGTTTATATTGATACACAAGGTTTTTCTATTTAATTGCATTTTGTCAATTGCACTTGTGGATCCAGTGCAAACTCGAAATAGGTTTTGTGTTCATGCAATTAGTTACGTTCTGTTCTTAAACCAGAAATCGAAGCTAATCGTTGCGTATTGCTAAGCTGTTAACCTCTGTCTCTCATTTTGTCCTTTTTTTGTTTGTTTCGTCTGACCTAGCGGTGCAGGACAGGTACGTTGGCTTGTAATTCAGTGCAATTAATGCTGCGTAAAGGCAGTAGTTTCGCGGAACCTTTTCTAACAAGCTCCAAAGATCGGTCACTTGGTGGTAATGATATTTTAATTGGTGTATATGAAAGGGATCTTGGGTTAAAAAGGAAAAGTAGGTGCTTCAGTGGTTAGTGGCGGAAAGATTCTGCATTTCTCCAAATGCCTATTTGTAGTACGACAGCAGAAATTCTGGCTCACCGTTCGGTGTAAGTAGGTGTGTGTTCTTCCAGCTCCAGCTCTGATGGAGTCTGTTCTTCTGCTCAAAGAGGTTTAGATGTGAATGTGACTGGTCACAATAGTAGTTTGTGCACTAGATTTAAATGAAACGTAAAAGGTTTTGGATTCCTAATCCCTGTGTGTTTGTTGGCCCAAATGAATGTATTGCAGTTTTGAAAACTGTGTTTTAAAGCACCATTTAATGTTACAAAGTAGCATTTAAAATTACCAAGGAAATTGAAATTATTTAATTTTTGTTTTTAAATGTTCCAGAAATGTTTTTTTTTTTTTTTTTACTATAATGCTTCCTTTTAATAATTGAAATATGCAATCATTATCGCAATGCCTTTTATTTGCCATTGTCAATTTTGAAATATTTTTGTAACAAATGTGAAAAATATGTAAGTGCCTAGAATTAAACTGACTCATTGTTCACTACAGTGTTTGTCCAGCTGTTGTGGTATCATTGAATACAGAGCGATTACGCAAATAGCATTATTGGCTTAACACAAAAGTGTATGAGCCAATTCTGTTCCTGTAATTCTGTTGTGTAACAGATGTTTTTATTAGTAAGAGTGTTTCTTTGCAATATGCTGAAGATTTGAGGCATCATCCTTTGACCTCTTTTGGGATTTGGTCCACAACCCTCGATCTAGTTAAGAGTTCAATACAGGATTTTATTTTTATTTTTTTAAATTGTTGTCTAAGTATGTACATCAAGTCTTTATTACCTCATGTTAATAACTTAATTATAAATAATTTTGAAATATTTTTGTAACAAATGTGAAAAATATGTAAGTGCCTAGAATTAAACTGACTCATTGTTCACTACAGTGTTTGTCCAGCTGTTGTGGTATCATTGAATACAGAGCGATTACGCAAATAGCATTATTGGCTTAACACAAAAGTGTATGAGCCAATTCTGTTCCTGTAATTCTGTTGTGTAACAGATGTTTTTATTAGTAAGAGTGTTTCTTTGCAATATGCTGAAGATTTGAGGCATCATCCTTTGACCTCTTTTGGGATTTGGTCCACAACCCTCGATCTAGTTAAGAGTTCAATACAGGATTTTATTTTTTTTTTTTTTAATTGTTGTCTAAGTATGTACATCAAGTCTTTATTACCTCATGTTAATAACTTAATTATAAATGATGTAATTAAATTATATAAATTTATTAGATTATTTATATTTATTAGATTAAATAAAACTATTAGATATTTGTACCTTAAAGTGTTCACTTGGAAAGTCGTGGAAATGAATGTAAATTTCTATAATCAATATAAAGGTTTATAGATATGTTCAGTTCTAAAAAATTACCTGCTAGATACTTTTTTTAGTGCAATCTTAATTTGTGTGTGTGTGTGCGTGCGTGCGCGTGTGTCCAATT